TGGAATGATCTAGTTGAGGATGGTCCTGCTTTGAGCAGGGTGTTGTACCAGGTAACCTCCTGAGGTCCCTTCTAACTCTAATTTTCTATGATTTTAATTGATGTGAAAATTGAAGAAAGTGCCTTGCGGTTCAGAGACTTGAGCTCAATCTATTTTGCTTATCAAAAAGCAAAGCAGAAGGTAACATGATTACATGGTAGAGGAACTTCCATAAAAAGAAAATTCTAGGCATGAAAGAGCTCTTGGATCAAACAGAGGAAGGCACAATGAGGGTCTGTGGCTTGAAGCTGAAATCAGATTGACTGCAATTAGAATCTAGGCAGAACATTTTAATCCTTGGGGGATTAAGCCTTGGAACAAACTACCAAGGCAACTTCTCCATTTCAGATAGCTAGAGTAGGTGCCATCCTGGATGTTACACTTTGGCCAAACACAAGTGACTGGGCCCAATACCAGGAATAATGAGTCAAATTCACACCTGGAGAGTAGATTACATGGCTTAATCTTCAATCCCATCATTAAACTCTCTAAAAAGTAGGCAGGGCTTGGAAGAGAACCACCATTGTCAGTGACTCCCTTGACTGCTCCTTTCAGGCACTTTCAGCCCAGCTAGGAATGGCTCAGTTCCACAATACCAGAGCCTTCCCAGTTGCTTGGGTCCCTTCCCTTTGTGACTTGGAAGTTGAGCTATTTCCTCCTCCCTCGCTTTTAACAGTAATGCACTTTTTTACACCTCTGCTGCTGGAGAGCAAAGTCTCATTCTTGATTCAGCCCCACAGCATGGAGAGAAGGACACCTTCAGCTAATTTACATCTAAGTGAGCATTTGTCAGAATAAAGAATAAAGGTCTTACTGTGCAAAATGGCTGATGTGGCGGTACTAATCAATACTTGTTTGATGGATTGCCTGCCAGGAGTCTTTCAGGCACATCAATTCAGCTGTTAGACTTTCTGCTTGCTCATTGCTTAACAACATAAATAGAGATGAATCAAGGTATTTAACATAAAACTTCAGCTCAAGACCTGAACTGTTTAAAATGTACTATGTTTTCCCACCCCTCCTCTCATTCCTTGAAAAGAATGTTAAGCTTTGAAATTTTCTGTGGACCAGACACAAGGCTTGAATGATAAGCGTTTCACCAGGGGCTGCTTTCTTGTTGCAATCAAGAATTGCATCTGTAGTACAAGGGAGACTCTCTTCTTTTTGCTTTCCCCTGAAGCAGAAACCTGCTGGGGAAGAAGACATTAAGATTTTATTGGGAGCAACTGATGTTAGTGCAGAGTTCTCTGCACTCCCCTTCCTTATCAGCCTCGTAGGAATTGCTCCCTGCGCTCCTGAGCAGGTTCTGCTGTTAATTGGTGTGAAAACAGCTGCCTAACTGGAGTTCGCAACTTCTGATGCTGCTGTACCAGGAGCACCTGCAATCACATCAGATCTCAAATCCAAAGGGGTAAGCAACAGACCAGATTCTCAGCAGTGTTTGCTTCCAGCTGGCAGAAAGGGGAGTTGCAGCATGCCCAGCTCCTTGGAAAGTCTGGCTTTATTTCAGAACCTAACTGGGAGCTAAGTACTTTGGAAAATCTGGCTCTGATACTGAACTCTTTTGAAGACCTGAACCTCTGGTAGCCTAATGCCCAGCCTGCCTCCGAGGCAGCGAATTTAATACAGCCACAACAGCTGGAAGTCTCCCCTTAAATAACATTAAGCTCCATCCTGTGGTGTCTTCTCCCACCTCCACCTTTCCAACCTCACAGCACCCTGTAGCAAAAATAAAAGACTAATGCCAGAACTTTCCCTGTCCTATAGAGTATTTGATTATTAGTGGCAGCAGTAATTGGCAGCAAGAGCCCAGACTCAAAGGGGTGTTATTTACCTTTAATAGTTGATAATGACTATAAAGTATTAAAGTTGAGTTTCTTAGGCACCTAGGATGGCTGAAAAACAGTAATGGCTTAGAATTTGCATTTAACTTGAGCTGTTTACTGACTGCCTTGAATTTACATTTTAAAAGAAGTTTCAGGGGTGTAGGTTGTTTTAAAATTTTAAAAGAAGTTTGACACCTGGCTAGTCAAACTATCAGGGAGAGACAGTATATTGGATTAGTGAAAGGTTGGATATAGTCTCCTGATCTTAACAAGATCATGAAAATTTTGTAGTCTGGAAAATATGCAGCTTTGGGGAACAAGAAGTTAGTGGCACAGTGTGAGACCCCCTCAGAATCCAACGGATGGTGAAAATGTACTTAAGACTGCTTCACAAGCATGGCTTTGACTTGAGTCTTTCTGGGTACAGAGGAGACTGGTAGGCCTGTACAAAGCAGCAAGTATTTGCTTCGCATTTGGATTTGGCCAATTCAGAGGGACAGTGATTTGACTGGGTGATTTAAATCACTGTCCCGATTCGACTCAGCCGATTTAGATTCGGAGATTCAGTGCGGATTCAGAGATTTGTCCATAGATTATAATGGGGAATCACTAAAATACCTAGAACTTTGTCATTTTTTTGGAGATTCAGATGAAAACAGCAGAGATGGTAGCCCCTTCTGAGGGCATGAAGCCTGCCAAGTTTCAAAGAGATAGGTGGAGGGGTTTCTGTGAAAGTGCACCTCAGATTGTTGAAAACAAAACATATCACTTATGTGTGTTAAGGCACAGCGGGATGAAAACTGCAGGGATGGTAGCCCTACATGCGGGCATGAGGCCTGACAGGTTTCAGGCAGAGTGGTGCAGGGGTTTCTGTGAAAGTGCACCTCAAGTTTCTGAAAGCAAATAAAAAAAGCAAATAGGTGCAGAGTGAGGAGGGTGGCACTCAGTCCGTCTGCAGGTGGAGCTTGGGGAACCCCGGCAGTGGGAGGTTCACCTTCAGGAACACCAGCTGCTCCACCAAAGTAGGATCCAAGAAGGTGCGGTGGGGTGTCACTATATCCCCAGCAATGCTGAACACCCTCTTGCTTGGCACACTGGTCAGTGGACAGGACAGGTGGTCTTGGGCAACAGTGGCCAGATCCTGCCACACACGGCTGCAGGTTACCCCATAAGCCAAGGCTCGCAGTGCAGCGGTTCCATGTCCTCATCGAGATAGGTAGCCACCAAGGCCATCACACTACCTACCTGATAGTGGGGTCTGGTGCCTCTGAACCCCAACACTGAAGCCATGCCCTTGACCCACATAGGCAGTGGCTATGGTGGAGGAGATTGGCTCATGGTTGGAGTGCTGACATGGAAAGTCACCCCTCTTCCCCATCCCCTGCCTCTGCCCTTCTACCTCCCTGACTCTGTTCACCAGCACCTCTGTCCAGTGATCAAGGGTTTTGCTGGTACAGATACTCCCCTTCACCCTCGAGTCACACATGCCCACCAGCACATGGACCATACTGTACCACAACAGATCCAGCTGTTTTTTGATGCCCTCCTTCAGCTGCTTCACCACTGCCTGCACCTCTGATGAAAGCAGCTTACCCCAGCCAGGAACATCGACCCCCTGGAACTTCTCCATTTCATTCTCATGCTCCTTCACTGTGAGGATCACCTGGCTAAGGAGGGCATCGGCAGCGCTGAGGCTCTTGGTGGCCTTGAGGAACGGCTTGAGGACCACCAAGATCTGGGAGATGGTATCCCATTCCGTTTTGCTGAGGGAGCCACTGATCCCAATCTCCCCAAACAAGGCCATCTCATGGATGGCCTTCTGTTGCTCGACCAGCCTTTCCAGCATCAGGTATGTGGAGTTCCACTGAGTTTCCACATCCTGCATGATTGTGCGCTGAGGGATGCTTAGCTCTGCCTGTTTCTCCTGCAGCATCTTGCCCCACTTGATGCTCCAGTGGAAGTAGCCCACTACCCTCCTGCATTTTGAAATGAACTGGCTGGTAGTGATGGCACCACCACTGGGAGCCCTGTCCCCCTACAAGGCATACCTGACTATGAGGTGAAACTTTTGTGCCACACAGCGGATGCCAACAAAGTTAGCATCACGCATTAGCCCCATTTTCAGTGACCATGCACCCATGGGTGAGCTCGCCCTGCCCAATGAGCCACCCTTGCACCATGCAGTTCATAGCCACCATGATCTCTCCTGCTGTGTGGGACTTATCTATCACCTCCGCTTGAAGGAGAGCTCACCAACACCCTGACTGATCATACCAGTGCCCTGTGAGGGAGAGGTAGGCATGATCTCCACCCCAGGTGCTCCAGATGTCTGAGGTGAAGTGCAGGTCTACCTACGGACCTGCCTTCTGCAGCTCCACCTTCAAATACTCCCTGCATGCCTCATACAGGGAGGGCACCACCGTCATGCTAAAGGTGGTGCATGTGGGCACTTGGTACAATGGGGTCATGAGTGCCATGAGCCACCTGAACCCTGAACACTCAGCAAAGGAGAAGGGCTGGCCATCCAAAGCAAACATCTCCCCAGTGCTCTGGATGACCTCGCTTGCCTTCAGAACATGCCCCCCTTTGTCTCTGCCTTTCCCCCCACTGGTCCAGGGTGGCCTGCCTCAACTTCTTGTGGATGGAGACTTTGGAGTGAGAGGGGGACTCCCCTTTGGGCATGCTTCCACTGGTGCCAGGCTGAGAAGGAACAAGGACAGAGGGGTGCTGCCTCCTGAGATGCAGCAGCATCAACGTGGTGACAAAGTGTTACACCTCCTTGCCCCAGCTGATTGCTTTCAGCAGTGCTGGCAAGTAGCATACTTGGGATAATCTGCCACCTCAAAATGATCCCACACTACAGTACCCACCCACTTCTGGGTTGAGGGTGGGGATCCTGCCTTATCCTCCTCCTCACCAGGCAGAGGCACAACAGGGGGAGCTGAGCCCCCTGCCTCCACAACCTCCTCCAAAGTGCCTTCCAGAGAAGGAGACCTGCCTCTTGGGGAACTTTGAGGGGTGTGGAGCACCAACTCAGATTCCCCCTCCTTCCCCAGAATTTCCTTCACTAAGGTCCTCAGCTCCTCTGCTTCCAGATCCAGCTCCTCCTCTGGCACTGGAAGGCTCATGCTGAGAACTGAAATTGGGGTGGAAAATGTCATGCTGCTGCTGGTCAGTGGTGTTAGTGGTGGTGGTGCAGGTGCAAGCACTGCTACCATCTCCTTGCTCCCACTAGCAGCAGAAGGCTCATCGTTGCCAGGTATGTCTATGTTTGGGGTAGGGGGAACTTACAGCTCTACCTCTGCCCCCTCTCCTTCCCCTGACAAAAGACCTGGCACCTGCCTTTCCAGCATGCTTCATAATGCTTGGTGTGCTGCAAAATGTGTGTGTGTGTGTGTGTGTGTGTGTGTGTGTTGTGCCAGAGCCTTTGAGATGCTGCTGCTCCAAGAGAGACACAGATCACTGCTGCTCACAAAAGGCACAGATCACTTCAGACACAGCTTTATATGTTGTTTCTACATCCTGCACCCAGCGCACTGGGATTAGTAGTGAACTCAGAGAAAGATCACAGTCACTGGCCAGCTACGGGTGTCAATATCAGAGAAGTCTTTCTCCCCATCTCAGCCTTTTCCATATATGGAAGATCACCTCTCTCATCTCAGTTTCTGCTTCCTACAATTTCTGAATCTCTGAATCTCTCTGAAATGATTCGGAGGCTTCCAATTCGATTTGGATCTTTTAATGGGTCTCCCAATTCAATTCGGGTTCGGAGATTCAGTCACTGAATCAGGCCGAATCTCCTCTGAATTGAATTGGCTACTGAAGCTTCGCACAGCCCTGGAGACTGGAGCCCCTTAGCCTGAATAAGGCAGGCTGAATAAAGATGTTGACAGGGGATAAATGGCAAGAAGCTCTGGGGAGGGCAAATCTGCATTTTAACCTGTTGAAGCTGGCTGGGGACTATATCCTTGGATTTAAGGTGCAGGTTAAGAACAGGTTATTGTTCTCATGTTTTCTTTTGTTTGTTTACAAGAGTATATCTCTGTCTGTATTTTAAGATGGGGTTACTGATTTCTTATTCTGGTTCTTGATTTTTATAATAAATCTGCTTGTCATCTTTACTTACTTGTTGCCAATGACACTTGTGATTCCAGAGTACTGATTATACGGGCTTGCCCATTCTATGGAAAGGGGGATCCATCTTTTTCTGAGTCCATGACTGGACAAGGGTGTAAACCTTTTAGCTGGCAAAATCCACCCAGCTAAGGGCTAGCAAAGCCTGAGCAAGACTGGTAGGACTGAGGCACCACAGGCCAAGCAGTTAGCCTCTGACACATCTCATCTGGTGTTCAGTGGTCAGGCAGCAGAGAGGGGTTTGAGGCAGAAGAGCACCACAAAGTTGTGGAAGCACCCCAAGAGAGTGTTTCACAGGTGTCCCCAGGCTGCATGCAGGGCTGGAGCATGTCACATTCTCATGTTGACTTGCCACACACTCTCTCAAACCCAGGCTCCTGCCTCATCCACAAGCTGTGCCACTCAACTCTCTCATCTTCATTCATCCTCATTGCTTCTTCATCCCATCTCTGTCTGCTTCCCTGTTCTGTCTTTCATGCACACACCCCCAACCCTCTTCACTCATATCACTGCTCTTTTCCACTGCTTCCTGTCTCAGCCAGTCTCCAGACAGGCTCTCATGCACCCACCCCCTCTTCTCATATGCTGGTTTGCACTCTCATTCTGAGGAGGGGGCTTGGAAAATATTCCTGATGCCTACTACTCAAATGCCTCCCCCAACCCCCCCCGGAGCCACCTGCCTCTGGCTGACTGAGGTTCTCTTGCTGTCTTCAGTGGCTATCAATCATTTACCATTTCCTAACCCTTACACTCTATTCCTGACTTCAAAGCGGCCATTCTTAGACAACAAAACTTTAAAAACAAATTTGAACAGGATATTGCAGAACAAGAAATCACCCACAGACTGGGCTGTGTTAATTACGGTCTAAACCAAGACTACAGATTAGTTCATTATCTGAATTATCTTTTATGACCCCAGTATCCTTCAGTGGCTAGGGACAGACATTCAAAAAGCCTGAGCCTGAACTGATTCAATCTTTGCAGGTTAGTCTAACCTGGCTAGGCTGAACCAGTTTGTAAGCATACAGATATCCCCTCTGGACAGAGGAAATGCAGGCACATGCCTTCAGTGGCTCAGGCTAGAAGTGTGGTGGGGGGGGCACACTAGAGCAGCCCTCCCTCCTTCCACAATGCTGAGCTGAGGGGGTGGGGGCATGGCCAGGCCCCGGCAGGATGTGCTGATTAAGGAGGAGTGCCCCCCAAAAACAGATCATTTATCAGCTATGTTGTCAGCATTTAGCACCGCATCAGAAAACAAAGGCTCTCTCATTAGTTCAAGATCTTCTTAAACAACTTTTTCCAAGGAATGAAGGGAGGGACATTACCAGCTACCTGTTGATTAGCTCCAAAATCCCCTAAGCCAACACTGTCCTGTTTGCCTTACACATACACCTCTCAGCATTAGCTAGCATACCACATGCTGGCTGTGGTCCATGCTGTGGGAGAGAGGAGGGAGGGATCCCTGCTTGAGCAGCAAGGGGGGCCGGGGGAGGGAAGCAGAAGCCAGGCAGATGCTGCTGTGCTTGCAAGTCTCTGCTAGAGCTCCAGCCAGGGAGCAGATGGGAGGGGCCAGCCCACCTCTCTGGAGCAGACAGCCCCACCCAGCCCAGAGAGCATGTCAGGATGCTGGGGGACTCTGATTTAATTTAAACCAAGAAGGGGTCTGGGACAGACATTGCATAAACTGGTTTAACTCAGATCAGTTACATCTGATACTACATTCAACCCAGTTTATCTCAAACCCATTTTAGCCATTTTCAAATTGGTTTATGTGCACTGAACGTCTGTTCTGTTACAGGTTTAAACCAGTTTCTGATCACTTAAACTGGTTTATGTCTGTCCCTAGCCAATGGATTAACTGTTTTGTTTTTCTCTCTCCCACCCACCTTACCTCTCTCAACAGTGGCCCCTCCTTTTTTCTCTCCCACCCTTCTCTACCTTTTGTATTCTTCTGTTTAGACACTCTGCTTTCTGTAGTCCTTTCACAGCATCTGATGAAGTAAGTGTGCTGCTTATGAAAACTTATGCTATGCGTTTCTGATGTAGTTAGTCTATTAGGCAAGAAACGGACATTGCTTTTGTCCCAGGATAAACCATTTTATTCTGGAACAAAGTGAAGTCATTCAGACATCCAAGCTTATTGTCTTGGGATAAATCCTAAAAAAAAGATAAGAAGTACTAACAGTTTATTGCAAAGTGCATCTGAATGGTTTTCCCCAGGATTTCATCACGGACTCAAAAGGAAAAAAACAGCAGTGCATTCAGCTGCTCACTAAACCTGCATTACAAAGATGATGTGTGTATATGCTAATCCCAGGATATGTCTATTTTGGAACAAATACACGAACAACTTGTTCAGGGAGAAAGTCAACATCTGTTCCTAGCCTAAGGTGCAAGTCTACTCTGCTTCCTACCAAGCCTTGTCTTCTGCCTGCCCCCTCAAGCTTATTCTTTTTCTCTGGGAATAGCCCTTTAAGCATAGTGGCTTTTCACACTCTTACTTTACCCCTTCTCTCTCTGCCAACCTTTTTCTATTCCTTTGTTATCTCTGGACTTGCTCCCCTCCCATGTCCTTTCAAATATCTTCTTCTGGAATATGTGGAGATGGAAAACTTAGACACAGAGAGGGGAAGTGACATACCCAAGGTCACACAGCAGGTGAATAACACATGGGACTTGAACCCATGTGTCCCAACTCCTACCTCAGGCCCTGCCCACCAGACCATTGCAAGAGCTATATACATCCATGAAATATTTTCATTTCTGTTTTTGTATGTGTGCCAACCTCCCACCAAGGGCACCAGTGACACCACCACCCACTGCTCCCTCTAGCCCTTTTTTGTCATAACAGACAATGTCCTACAGCTGCCTTCCAGGTGTTCCGGGTAGCAGATGTTCTGTCTATCAGAAACAGCATTGCTGCCGGTATGACCTTTGCAGCCATTCAAGCAGCACGGACAGAATGACACCAGCTGATGCCAGGTTTCCATCTGAATGCAGTGCTGCCTGCAGAGCCGAATACAAAGAACTGTGCAGCTGACAATAGAGTTTTCCTCTTCAGGGCTCCACACCCCTACCAACCCAAGCAGTTGGAACAGGAGAAAGCAAGTTCCCCAAATGCTTCCCCAGAAGCAAGCAGGTCAGAGGCATGCAGGGGCAGCTAAGGGAGTGTCAGGCTTTATTAGAGTCAAGGCATGGGGGAGATGTGAAGGGACTGCTAAGTGGACAGTAAAGAAGATGGATGAATTCAGACTACCTGTGCTCAAATGGAGCAGCCTGGTATTATGCAGGGGATAGGACAGTATCCTGGACAGATGCCAGAAAACACCTGGAAAACCAGGATTACAGTCTTCAACACGCAGTAGGGAATCTGCCTGGAGAGGCAGGAAGGTAAAGAAAATGGGAGCAAAGCGGGGTTTGGCTTGGGCAGACATCTGTTGCTAAAATCAGGATGTCCTACCCTCAACACAAGAGCAGGCAAAGCAGGAGCAGCAGCTTCTAGAATCCACAAGGACACGTGGGAGGAGTTAGCTGGCACCAAAGAGCACCCGTAGCCTCGGGCAAGGAAGATAATGTGGTACAGAGAGGAGCCAGGGAAGGGGGGTCATTTGCCAAAGAGACAAGCAGCTTTAGAAAGAGGCTCAGCACCAAGGAGGGATGAGAGGGGCCTACAGCTGGGAAGCAATCTTCCAAGTCTCCATGAAATGGAGCATAGCCCTCATGTTCTGAGAGGACATGGGCTGCTTCTTTAACTGCATTCATCCACTGGGAGCCTGGATCCCAAACTGAGGCATCTTGGCAGCACCTTGCTTGCTGCTTGGGCTGACAGGAAACACAACAATCATAAAAGTTTGCCATAGTGCATGTGCTTCAGGCAGCAGGGACCAGCCACTGGCATGCAGCAGGGACCATGCTGCCCTTGTTTCTGTAGTATATCATGTCCTCAGCCCAGAGCAGGGGGCCTCCCATATCACTTCAAGACACAACAGCCTGAAAATGCCTGCTGGGAATCAGGAGATTCACCCTTCTCCTATCTGAACAAATTGCAGGGTCCTGGGGTTCTTTTGCACTGAACTTCTTGTCTGCCCGTTCTTGACAGCAATCCAAAAGGCTTTTTTTTATACCGGGGACACGCGTGGTTGATGTAAGATAGCTGGAAGTATAGCACAGAGTTTTAACCATAAGGGAAATTAACCATTGGAAACCCTTCCAAAAGATGTGATGAATTCCCTTGAATTCCCCTGAAGTCTTGCCCAGCCCGTTGTCAGAGAGATGCTTTAGTTCAGCCACTCGTGTCTGAATCGCTAGGTGAAATCCTACCCCCTGTTCTGTTTGGAACCTTGGGCCAACTAATGGATTCTGCCCCCTGTAGAGCACTATGGATCTCAAAGTACTTGACAAAGGAGGTGAGGCTCATTATCCCTCCCTCCCTCAACTTATCTTTAAATTATACATCAAAGTTTCAACAATAATCAGAGAAGAGTTTGAATATTTTATAGAAAACTAAATGTTTCATGTTTGCTTACAAAGTAAAATTAATAAGGAGATTTGGCCATCGTTGTATTATTTATGCAGTTCTTCAGCAGCAAAAATAGGGGTAGCAAGCACAGTTTACTTGAAAGCCATATCTTCCATTTCTCATCTAGCAGAGGTAAGAAAAAAACACTGGCATGCCTACCTTCCCTCCTCCCTTCAAGAACACATTTAAAGGAAAGAAGACTTACAGGCAATTAGAAAGAAGACTTGTTCTGCATAACTGAAAAAGTAACCATAACAATCCTCTGACCTTGGGGGTGTCACTAATTTCTCCATGCTTCTGTTTCCCTCCTCTTCCTTATCTGTCTTGTCTCCTTACTCCTTGTTCTTGGCAAGATTTTTACATGCAAACCGTTTGCACTGAGATTAGAACTACAGGAGTCAATGGGTGAAGATCTGGCCCTGTTGAAGTCAATGGCAAGTTTTCCACTAACTTCCATGAGGTCAGGGCTGTGTCCAATGAGGGTACTGATGAAGATGAGCCATGCAAAAATCTTAGCCTGATTGGAATCTCACACTGGGCCTTCTTGGGACATGTGCAAAGTGCTCCCTTCTAGGAGCTACTGTAACAAATAATCGTGACTGTCACCATCCTATTGAGACGATTGCAATGTATTTGTCATTTTTTGCAATAAGGAAGATGCACTACATATGCTCAAGAGACATCTTAGACGTATGAGATGATTATTCAGTCAGATGCACCAGTTGTTTCGAGGAGAATTCAGAACTTGGCAGGCTGCAATGGGGAATGAAGGATGCATCTTTCACGCAGCCTTTCCAGTTCTTGCCAAAT